CTCCTTATTCCTCGGGCGGTCGTTTTGCTTCACTTCAATCCCTGAGGATCCGAGGCCTCGTATATCATGGACTCGGCTAAGTCATCAAAAAAGCAAGGACTCGTGGCCGAGTGCTCAAAATATTGTGGACTCGGTGAATATTGTTATTTGATGATTTGGGCCTGGTTGTATCGAAAATGCAGAATGACAACTTGCTGCGACCTGAAAATTCTCAAACATAGTGAACCACGTGCCCGGCGGTCGTGACTTCGCGCATATGCACGAAGTCACGACCGCCGGGGGCATCATATATATATGCTTATATGTACATGTCGCGGTTAGGCTGGGCATAAGCGCGGTTTGCCGGAGGCTTTAAATTTATAATAAGAGATATCTGTAGGCATAGATAGCCTTATTACGAAAAGAGGGCGATAATCTGTTCACGATAGAAACTCTTCAAGAAATAATAAGCTGTCTAGTTATAATAAGACCCAGAAACAATCAATTCAGCAAATTCCAGTCCTAATGTTAACACCTTTCCGAAATGAGCCCTGCGACCCTCAACTGTAGGTTCCGATGCTGTGACCCTTGCATATACAAATCATACACTCATGTAGCATACTAGCGGAATTCTCCACCGGATTCCTGTAAAAACCCTGCAATCTCACGAAGCTCCAAAGCACCATTAAAAGCGCTAAAAACTAGCAAAAAACCCAAAACCCATAAAGCCGAACCCCTGAACCCATGAAACCTTTGCAGTCCTCGGCTGGAAGCTTGGGGGTTCAGGAGTTCAGGGAATTCTAGGTAGGTGTAGTCTTGCAGCCATATACTCGGTTCACAATCTTTAAGAAATTTCTAGATGGAGTGTGTACGCTGGAGAGTATAAGGACGGCTTTGGGATGGGATATAAAGATTTCGGGCAGAGAGATCAGCACGATCCGGACTCGGGCTTTGTTTAGGTTTCGGTGTTTCAGGGTTCTGGCTTAGTGGGTTTAGGGTTTTCGAGGTTCTTCGGTGATGGACACAGTCGTGTGAACAGCTCTTCTTTAATGGGGTTTGTTCCTGAACGAAACACAAGCCTAAAGGAATTCTGGGGGGCTTTGGAAACAACATCCCAGGGTTTGCTCGTTGGGTGTTTTTCTGCGACACAGACATCAGATCGTGCCAGGCTTCGGCTGGGTTCGCCATTCCGAGATAGGGCATTGAGCTATACTTTAAAGTATTGGGTTCAAACTTAACACTACACCCTAAACTATAAGTTTACGGGGCTCGGGCTCGGATCTTTGGGCGATGCCGGCTTCTGCGGCTGCTCCTGCACTGCTGGTGGCACTACTGCATGATCACCTTCGATCTTTGCGGACGCTGCTTGCTCTTGAACTGGTTCGGCCGCCAAATCCGCTTAGCTTTGAGGGAAGCAACATCGTGTCGTAGCCTGGTCAAAACTGTTGGGGGGACTATTCTTGAAGCTAGATTATAGTTAGACAGTTTATAATATAGTGTAAACAATTACTGCATTTACAGATAGACTTTAAAATTGAAGGTTGTTGGCTACAGGGCTGGGGTTGGTTGATTTCAAAGCATCATTTCTGCCACGGCACCGAATGTACCACTTGTCCATCCACGACTCTTCCAAATTTTCGGGTTTGCATTGCTGTGCGATGCCTTTGCTCCAAACTCTCATTTTCCCTCATGACAACGGTCGCGCTATATCAAACTGGCAAAGTCTGCCCCTCAATATCAGGCCTAGAATCGTTTGGCGAACTGCATCGAAGCTTCGTCCCTGTAGGTGTGGTAGTATCTGCAGTTGTATAATTCTTGTTGCATGGTCAGCCCCAAATGGTGGTAGATGTGGTGCTTCGGCCGTAATTGCCACGACAGCCTGGGATGCAGGTGTTGGGTGGGGTGGGTTTGGGGTTTGATCTATGTATACACTGTGCTTTTATGGGTGAGTGAATAGTTTGACCGGGCTTCTCGCCGCTGGCACCTGCGAGCTTGGCCAACTGCAAATAGGAGTTCAGGTGGGTCAGGGTCCATCGGTAAAGGCCAGCGGCTTCCTGGAGTTGGAGCTATACCGTCACTGCAAATTCCAACATGTGCACCTACACTATTACATCTTGCCACGAAACAGGAAGGATGATCGTGCTATGATTTCTGCGAAGAGTCCGGTTGTGTCAGATATCTTCCATACTTCTCCAAATCGCAGTGCCAGGCATGCAAGGCATACACACAGTTGTAAGTGAGCGACATGTGCTCCGTGGGGTGCTCCTCGAACGCCTTGCTACACTCGTCCGCCAGCCAGCTTGTGATGACTCGCGAGTTGTATGCCTCGGGTCAATCGAGCCGCATCATGAGCAGAAGGCTTGTAGCAGCATGAGGATCCAGTCTAGATAGTGGGTAGCTGGCATTCATTATTATTTGGAATTGCGTAGCTTAAAAATGGTGCCAAGATGCTTTCGTGCCCAGGTAACAATACTCCTCTCCGGAAGTGACGTACATGTAGCTTTTAAAGGGTGGTTGCGAACACTGAATTTTGTGTTTCCTGGTAAACTCCTTGAAGCTTATAAATGCATTCCTCAACATAGACGCCTTGTCGTTCCCACCAAACCACTCCAGCCTGGAGAGCTCCCAAAGAACACCACCGTGACAAAACTGAGCGATACCGAGCTGGACGGTGTGGACGGAACAAAACCGGATAAAGCTATAGTGGAACTTTGCTGTGTACAGCAAGGAGTTGATGGGTTCATTCAGCTGCTCTTGTACAAACTGAGCATGGGTCCTTATCGTTGTCGCCCATCGCGGCTCCTCTGCAAAGTCCGTGTATGGAAATTGCGCATTAGCTTTGGACGCCCTGCAGCAGTGACATACGTCGTTGCACGACCAGTGACTTACCAGTTTAAAAGCACGCGCATGATGCTTCCAATCGCCACGCAGTTCCACAAGTCTAAACTTGTAACCCATGTACATAGGGTCGTTGGGCTTCATGTCGGGGCCCAAGCTTTGCAAATCGTCGCCGGCCAAGTTCTTCTCCGGGAATTTTCCCGAATACATACAATTGATACTCCAAGCGAGAAAATCAAACACTGGAGTGATTGTATCGTAGCTAAACATCCTTTCGGAACGGATGGCGAACACAGGAAAGCGGCTGCCAAAGACAGTCTTGGAACCCTCGTACAGTGGGAAACCTTAAGCTTGCACCCGCATAACTTTCCTAAGCTAGACAATCTAAGTAATAACCCATTATAGTTATAAACCTTCCAAACAGCCAGACCCTACCCTAAGTTTACATAAATTATCACCCAATTATACACACCCTGCAAATAAATATCAGAATAAAGGTACTGATGTACAGCACCAAGATTTGCTCCTTCGTGATGCTGTACTCCGCCTCATCCCCATAAAGCGCCAGCGGCACAAAATCCTTCGAGTCGAACCCCTCCATCCAAGGAGCTTTCTGCGTCTTGAAATGCTGCCAGAAGTGCCCAGCAGCCGCTCGGTCGATGCTGATCTGTCTCGTCCGAAGCAAGTAGTGTGTCAGCAAGTGCGGGGCGATGACAGGAAATTTCATTTCAATTGTTTCCTTGCACTTAAGCTTGGGATCGGGTCGGGCTCGCACAGTCAGTTTGACACTGTCCACCGGCTCCACAGCCTCATTCAAGATCCAATTTAATGTGCACCGAATTACGAGTAGGACATAAACCTTATGCCAACCCTGGGAAATCCATAATGCTAGATCTAGACGAGAAGCGGATCCTGCTATTGTTTTGCTGTGCAACACTGTACTGCACTGGCCCCGCACATCTCGCCACATATTGTTTTGGTGCACACCCCGGGCACCACATGCAGCGAGGCTCTCCACGGACTGCGGTGTCGCGGAGCCAAACTCCTGCCGATCCGAAGGGGGTCTTGGATGCTTAGATCGGGGTTGCCGGGTTTGTCGTTAAGGGCTTGACCAGTTCAGTGGTAGCACATGAGTTGCTCGTGACTTCTGTTTGTCTAGATTGAAGGCTCGAAAGCTTGATTCGGTGAGGGAGCCTAGGCTGCACCTAATTTAGGGTTTTTTTAAGCTTTAGCCTCACGGATTCAAGGTGTTAGGGCTTTAGGTTGTTTTGGGTGTTGGGGTTAAGGGGGCTTAAAAATATAAGCTTCAGGGTTCTAGGGCGATAGGGTTTTGGGCTGTAGTATTTGGGTTGTCGGGCTTAGAGCAGTTGCAGTCCATACTCGTACCTCGGATGTTGCAAGCAAGCCTTGAAGATGCGAACCTCAGCCCTCATCAAGAAATCCTAATATTTCAAGGCTTTAGGGTTTTTGGGTTTTGGGGTTGCGGGGGCTTTAAAGTTTAAGGTTCAGGGTTCTAGGGCGTTGGGGTTTTGGGCTCTGGTATTTGGGGTTGCAGTCCATACTCGTATCTCGGATTTTGCAAGCAAGCCTTTCGAAGACACGAACCTGGGCCCTGATCAAGAAATCCTAAGATTTCAAGGTTTTAGGGCTTTAGGGTTTTTGGGTTTGGGGGTTGCGGGGGCTTTAAAGTTTAAAGTTCAGGGTTCTAGGGCGATAGGGTTTTGGGCTCTAGTATTTGGGTTGCTCGTACCTCGGACTTTGCAAGCAAGCCATTGGAAAATGCGAACCGACCCAGAATCCTGAGCCCTGATCAAGAAACCCTTATAAAATACCAAATCGTGAAACCCATCAAGGTATATGCCGAGAAACTATCGCCACACAGTCGGCGAGCTCTTGGGCAGTCGATGCGCTCCATTCCTTGCGGTTGGCTTTATAATAGATGTTTTCAATTGACAGTGCAAGCTTCAGGCGTTTGGATTCCGGTTGTTACGGCTCAGGTTCAGGCTAAGGCTCAGGGTCGAGGGTGTTAGGTCAATTGCTTTGCTTGGAGAAGTTTGGCGGTAACCTCGGTTTAGGACCTGAGGTCCATTGGTGATTCGGGAAATTTGATTAATAAGTGTTGGGTCAATAGCCTAGATGCAAAAGGTTTTGGGTCATGCTACTACGTAAAAATGAACACACAAATTATTGATTGAGTCGTGGGCCCTGCTTACTGCTGCCCAACAAACCACTAATTTCCAAACCTAGTTTGATTCGTAGATTAGAGTCCTATACAACACAAGACCGAGCCACAGTGTATCATGTGCAACAGAGTTTCACCTGCACCCACTCCAGACAACAAGCGCTCGCGGATGATGCCCGGCACCCCTGCGCAGCGAACTCGGCTTCAACAGACTGCGTATTGAAATGTGTTTCGAGACCCAGCGCTGGAGCGTAAGAAAATTCAGAACTTTTTTCCTGGATGGGCTCAAGCGATGCTCGGTGATGCCGGCCAAATCTAGAAATGCTCCGGATGCACAAAATCAGCACCCCCTACGGACTGCACACGATGCTCTGGCCCACCTGCTTAAACTGCCTTGGCTAGCTACTGCGGACGTAGGACCGTATGTTTGGAGTTACGCACATTGCACAGGCAGGTTCTAGGAGCCTCCACAGTCATATAGGTGCACGAACCCCACCGGAGGATTTTAAAAAGCTGCCTCAAGCAGCGGCCTTAGCCTTCGCCTGAGCTTTGCCCTTGGCTTTCGCTTTCGGTGCCGGGCGGATTGCACGCTTGACCGCTTTCATCTTCTCATCATAAATGCCATAGCTCGCTTTCAAAAGCACGTTTAACGTGCCGATCTCCCCGTCAGCCTGCTTCGTCGTGACGGCATGCTGAAGGCCCGCGTGGCGCTCCTTCATCAGGTCGACATCGGCTTTCATGTCGGCCACCATAGCTTTTGCAAATGCATCACCCCTGAGGAATCAGCAGTCGAGGGAACGAAAGAACTATAACCCACAAACACTAAACCTTAATGTTGAGGGTTTAGGGTTTCAGTCCTGAAGCCCTATAATTATATATGTATATATATATATATATGTATAGCCCCCAACCCTGACATCCTTGGTCAGCTAGCTAGGGGCCCACGGTCTTTTAATCGAAAGCACAGGGTTTAGGGGTTTACAGTTTTGTCGGCTAAGGGTGAAGGAACCAACAAACAATCAAATTAAAGACGATCCAAGGTGCATGCCGCCGCGCAGCAGCATGCTCTCCATGCCGTCCGCTTCGATGATGCGTTGGGTGCCTTTTCTGAGCAAGTCCAAAGCCTCCTGTTCTGCAGCCTTGGCCTTCTTCTCGCCTTTGTTTGTAAGCCTGCGGTTCGGTGGTGGCGGTGGCGGGAGATCATTGCTTCCACGAGGAGCATTGTCATCGAGCAGATGCGACCTTGATAGTGGTTTTTCATCTAGAAAACTTGAGAGGCACATCCTTTACAACTTTACAGTATGTAGGCAAGCCACAGAACACCATTGGTCCCGGCACCATCCAGCCCCACCTCGGATCCGAAGTTAAACTCCACTTCATCCTCGGACTCAGAGACTTCCACGCGGGAGTCGAAGCACTTGAAGAGCTCCCAGTCCTGGTAAGGGTTGTAGGTTTGAAGTTTAGGGGTTATAAATAAAGGTTTTAGGGAGCTCCTGGAATCGAAGGTTGTAACCTTATTTAAAATGTATGGTTGCGAGCTCATGATAGGGCCCTTCTCATCCCTATAAAGCTCTTGTTGCCTAACTTAAAGATGATCCAGTCTTGTTTGCTTCATGTAGCTAGGAGCCCTCCTAGTTTGTGCTAGGATTTTGGGGTCGACCCACCTCGTTCTTGGGCTGATCGGGATGAACCTTCCACCAGCGGCCCGAGCCGTTGGGGTCCATTCCTTTCTTCGAGGCACGAATGTCCTCCGCGATGGCGGATCCATGCCTTAATGGTTTCGAATTAATGTCGGATTAGCTGCATTCAGGGCACGAAGGCTTATAGTTTAAAGGTTCGGGGGCTTAGGGTTTCACTTAGGGTTTTAGGGTTTGAATTTGTGGTGTTCACGGGTAACCACGACCTATTGCTGATGGGTGGCTCTGTCTTGAGCAAATCGAAGCGCTTCCACACATGCCGGCCGGTTCTCCTAGTGTTGTTGCGCTTCTTGGCGTTGAGCATAATGGAACTTCGCATCCAATCGCACCCGCTGCTAATCCACATCTCGTACATGTGGCGCATAACCGAGGTGGAGCGCTTCTGCCCCGCCGCCGTGAGTGCCTTCTCCCTGACTTCCGGCGGACAGTCGGCCGAGCCTCAGATTGGAAAGTGAAGGGTTTCTAATTTTAGGCTTTATGTAAGTTTAGGGTTTAGGGTTTAGGGTTTAGGGTTTAGGGTTTAGGGTTTAGGGTAATCTATAGGCTTTTGGTATATAGACTAGATACAGCCAAAGGGCGCAAGCTGCGATAGTACCGCATGTAAGAGTTGTGGGCCTCCCGGCTTTTGCGAGCCTCATCGGTTTCATTCTCCCGGTCCCGTGTCCTGGTGCCTGGCTCCTCCTTGACACGAACGGCTGGGTTCGGCTTTGGGACACTGCCTGTGGCCTCCGGCTCTGGCTCTTGCTTGACATGCCCTTGATTCACACCGGCTGCTGCTGGCACACTTGCTGCTGCGGTTGCTGTCGGGTTTTCTGTCGGCTTCGACGTTTCGGTCACACCCACTCCTGCTGCACTTGCTGCTGCAGTTGCTGTCGGGTTTTCTGTCGGCTTCTCGGTGTCTGGCACACTTGCTGCTGCAGTTGCTGTCGGGTTTTCTGTCGGCTTCTCGGTGTTTGGCACACTTGCTGCTGCAGTTGCTGTCGGGTTTTCTGTTGGCTTCTCGGTGTCTGGCACACTTGCTGCTGCAGTTGCTGTCGGGTTTTCTGTTGGCTTCTCGGCTGCTGCTGGCACACTTGCTGCTGAGGCTGCAGTTGGGTTTTCTGCTGGCATCGGTGTTTGGGTCTCAATCGCTGCCGGCACACAAGCTGTGCTCGGCTCGGAGGTTGGTGGCACCGAAAGGCTGGGCTTCGGTGTCTCGCTGTTCTCCGTCATGCCTGCTGCTGTGGCAGTGGTTGTTGTTTCCGTCTGCAGCTGCTTCGTCATTGCTTCGATATCGCATGTTGCTGGTCTGCGGAGCATGTTGTGGATGATGCTCGCACGCGCAGTGTGGGTCTCGGGCGGCATCGCCAGCAAAGCTGTCATAAGGCTCTGCAGAGCCCTCGCCTTCGACTCTGCCTCATCCGCCCGTTGATTTGCGTTCTCCACCTCTGCCTCGTCGATGAGTTTTGCCAACTCTGTTTCGAGCTTGTCATCGACTTCCATCGGTTTCTCGGTCGGGCAATGAACCCAAGCCTTGGCCGTTGCTTCTGTGCTGTTGGCAGTAGCATACACAGCTCCAGCCGAAGATTCTGCGCTTGCGACAGCTTCTCCTGCTTTCACAGAAACGGAGGCCACCGGCGTTGGCGGCCCAGGACTTGACATCTGGGTTTCTGCGGCATGTGTCTCCGGAGGTGGCGTGGAGGTGGTGGGAGCTGCGGCTGGCGTTGTTGTTGCTACCGGTGCTTCCGGATCGGGTTCCGCAGCGGTTGTTGCAATCCCTTTGCCCTGCTTCCCTGTTTCCATAGTACGCATCAAGCACCCAATGCCGCAGAAGATTTGCAATCCCTGCCCACAGGGTTCAATTGAGTATTATGTTTGGGGGTTAAGAGTTTAGGGTTTAGGGTTTAGGGTTTAGGGTTTAGGGCCGGGCAGGGTGTAGTATATAAAATGCCGATTCAATATTGAACGTGAGTAACTACTTACGTAATCGAGTAGGCCTGCTTGATGGCAGCGTCCGCAGTGCATGTCGAAGTGCAGACGGAGCAAGTCATCTGCAGCTCCTGCGTAACTAATATTTTCCCATCATCCTCCTCATCATCGATGATCATGGGCCATGTGCCGAAGATTGGTTCGTCTAGATTCTTCAGATCCACTTCTGCTACTGGTAGAGGACGACACAACCATTTTCCATCATCCTGACGAGCTATAGCATAGAATAGATGACATATATAATTATCTATATGATGTAATTAAAATTGCTGTGCTACATCGCACCCGTCGTGGAATCCCGCAGTACACAATTAATAACACATAAGGCGGCCCGTATTATTGGATTCAACAAGACCTCTAGAGGCGCAGTGGCAAATTACCCCCCCGTAAGCAAGCTAGCCCTTCAACCTCAAAACTAGAGCCCGCAAAGTGCAACCCCACCCCCACAAGAAGCAGCCCGTGATCCCCCGATAAGAAAACCTGTGGGTGGGGTTCAGGGTTTAAGGTTTAAGGCTTACATATACGGGTGTTGCTATTCGGGGTCCTTGGCATCAGCCGCCGGGGGAAGGGTGTCCTCTTCCATCTGGGTGCCGGTCAGGTCTTGGGAGAGTCCTGGCAATGGATGGGATGTGCAGAAGTCTTAATTAATACAAGTACACGATGATGTTGAACAATTTTGCTTGCATCTACAGATCTGTCCTTTCTGAAGGGTCAGCTCTTCCATGTACTGTTGCAGACTGATCGTAGTCGAAGAATCAGAATGTTTCGGTTTGGAAGATGCAGATCCAGAGAAGCTAGGCAGGGACGGAACCGTGCTAGCTGCTCCATCCGAGGACAACCCAGAGGCGCTGCGATGCCTCTTGGCATCTGGAGACTTCAGCGGGGTGCTGTGGGTGGACATAGGGCTCGGGCCTGGCACTGACATTGAGGGCTCGGTGGCCTTCGGGGCAGCTTCAGGAGTTTCCACTGTGGGTGTATTTACAGCACGTGCGGGCGTTGCCTGGGGACGCACACTGGCTTGGGGCACCGTCTTGCCATGCAAATGCATAGCACGATCGACCATCGCTTGCACTTTTGCAGAAACAGCGGTCGGGGGAGCTCCGGCTCCGGAATCGCCACGTTTTCCCATGTCGTCACAGGTCACTCAACAAGCTATGATCATAGAAATCCCTTGAACAACATATTGCAACCGAGGAATGGTGGATCTGGGCCTTGACAGAAACATGTACCTGCTGAGGTCCTGAAGGATTCCATAGGGCTGTTACGGTTATAGTTATAAAGTTGAGGGTCCAGGGCTCGGGGTTTAGGTGTGTAGGGTTTCGGGCTTTCGTACAGTATTCAGGGCTTGCCTGGCAAGCTGAATTGTTGGGGGTGTCGGGTCACTGTGTCGGGTCCAGAGGGGTTGAGGGTTTCGGGGTTTAGGGTTTTAGGGTTTAGGGCTTCGGGGTGTAGGGTTGAGGGGTTTAGGGTTTAGGGTTTCGGGGTTTAGGGTTTAGGGGTTTAGGGTGTATGGTTTAGGGTTTAGGGTTTAGAGTTGATCGTTGAATGAAAGTGTGGGGTATACTAGCTATAGATCGGGGCCAGCTTTTGGTGTCAGGCGATTTCACGCGAAATCACGCGATTTCACGCTATTTAACGCGAGACCTTCCTCAGCATGGTCTCCTAGTATATTTTTAACGCACTTTCACGCTATTTCACGCTTACCTCTTGCACCCAGACACACGATGTTTATCTTGTGTTAACGATAGCCCGGGGTTGGCTGTGTGTATATACATACATGCACACCATGTACACATAAATATCAATGCAGTAGCAGTTTTGGTTAGATATGTATGTACATTATGTATATGTACATATCTGTTCAGATGTCTTATGAATATGTCTATACGTACATGTATGTGTGTACATATATATATANNATATGTATACATATGTATATCGTGTCGTGGCTGATGAAAATCTGGGCTGTACTATTGATATGATATAAGAGTATCCAAAGTATAGCATATTGGGTTATCATATAAATCTACATATACACCTGGGTAGTGGGATTCTATCCAGAATCCAGAGAGAACCGGGTTATGCAAATACTCGTGGAACTGAACACCTTTGTAATGGCTCCCAGAGACAATCACTAAATGTAACCCAAGACTCCACTAATTGCCAAACAATGGAACACAAAGTAACTGAAGTCCCTAAAGAATCCTGCGGCGGCAAGAGCTCTAAATGCCAGTAGAACATTCGTGGTAACTCTCTATGACCATATACAGTGTTATAGCTTTAGATAATATAAAACTTCAAAAAGAATGAGCATCCGCCTCATCTTTATGTGCACAGGAATCGAACAGTCTGGGATCCGGAAGCAGACCACCGGTACAACTAATACCCTAAACCCTAAACCCT